AAAAAAAAAGATATTCAAATTGCTAATTATAAAAATAGTCACGGGGATGTACAGTGTAGCATAGGGAATATAGTAAATTACATTGTAATAACTGTCAGATGGGTACTAGACTTATTGGGATGAACTCTTAGTAAGTTAGACAAATGTCTAATCACTGTGTTGTACACCTGAAACTAATATAATATTGTATGTCAACTGTAATTGAAAAATAAAAAAAACTTTAAAGTGCCTATGAAGACCTTATTTATGTTCTCTTTATCGTACAGTATCTCATACAGGGTCATGTTTTATTTAGTTGCTAATTAGATGTCATTTTAATATTGAAGATTAAGCTAAAACTTATTTGGAGTTTTAATCGTTGCAAGAATCATGTAATAAGTCTAAGGACAAAATTTGGCATTTACTAGAAAGATTCTCTCTCTAAAATGGGAAGAAATATGCTAGGTCCTTGGTCCTCCAATTTTTATGTGCTTAAAATCACCTTGAGGGATTGCTAAAACAGGTTCCTGGATCCAAACCCCAGCATTTCTGATTCAGCTGATCTGGGGTGAATCAGCCCAAGAACCCTAATTTCTAACAAGTTTCAGGTGACGCTGCTGCTGCAGGCTGGGGACTGCACGCTGGGCCACGCTTTCCCCCAGGGCCTGCCCGTGCGTGGCTGTGTTGGCTGGACACTGGGAGTAGCAGAGACCAGCAAGGATGGAGCACCTTGGCCTTTATACACCATCTTCAGCTGTAAGTGCTCCCAGCACCTGGACGCACTGCCAGCCACACTCCCACAAAGGGCCCCCATTCCTCTTGTTTTTTGTAGCTGAAGAAAAATATAAGGTTGACATGTCCAGGTAGAGGCCCTAGGAGACCATGAGAGCTAGAACATCCTGCAAACACATTTACAGGAAGTAGGAGTCTCACAGAGCATACCCAAATATCAAGATAAATTTCATGACATCCTGACTTTAAAGAGAAAAAATATCGTTACTACATTAATTTTTTGGAATGCTAAACAGATGGTCAACAACAACAACAACAAAAAAACCCAGAAAAAATTCCAGTTATAGGAAGAAGGGTAGGGCTATAAGCAAGCAGGATTAGATCTCAGGCATTGAGACTGTCTATTTTCTGTATGGAAACTAGTTCTCGTACCGGCTAAGGGACCCTAGAGAAGCAAACTTGGAAATTTCTGATAGACCGTCTCTATTCTTCAGCTAAGAGCACTTAAAGCAAAATGAGTCTCTCTGGATTCATAGCTGACTTTCTTATATTTATGGGCTCCTCTGTGACTACATGGGCACAGTCACCTAAAGGCTTTATTTCTAGGTAGTTGACACCTGGACACACAGATAAATGTTAAGACAGTATTCCTCAGAAGATTTTTTAAAAATATAAGGCAATATGAACCCTGAGAGTAAAAGTGTCACCCCAGCCATTCTCACACAAGTCCAGTAATAATTGATAACAAAAGTGGCTTATTTTAGAGACATATTTAAAAAAATAAATGTGTCTGACAAGTCAATCCTCATAGCCCCCCCAAAAATATAATTACCCCCAAACCCCTGACTGAATTTTTATTTGCTAGACCATTTTATTTGCTAGACCATTTTATTTGAAAAATCCTGCCTGCAGTGGTGACATTTCCAATTTAATAATGATTATTTCTCGTCCTATACTAAGCTAGTACTAGACTTAAATTTTTTGTTTATTTATTTTGCTAAAGTACACATAATATAAAGCTTACCATTTTAACCATTTTTAAGTGTACAGTGCTGTGGCATTAAGAACACTTACACTGCTGTGCAACCATCATCACCATCCATCTCGGAAATTTTTGTTCAATTGATTCCCTCCCCTCACAAAATACAACCAAGTTAGAGGTGACATGTATGGGTAACTTGAGTGTTTTTGCAAATATGGTATCAAAATACTAGGATTCTCATAGGCTTCTTGAGGAAAGTTAAGTTAAAAGAGTTGTTTAAAAGGAGTTATATCAGTGAACTCAGATGTGAGGTCCAATTTTTTAAATTAGGGGTAGCACAAACCTGGTACCAGCTGCAGCTTCTGGAATGCCCTCTCCTAAACCTGTGCAGATTTACTCTGATCGCTGCACTCTTTCCCACTGAATCTCAAAGTCTTTCTCCATACAGTTTTCCAGGCATTATCACAACTAATTATCACTGGCTCACAGGACAAAACCTATTTACTATCTCCATACAGAAAATGCAAGCCCCCTGATTAACAGAAAATAACAATCATTCGGACTGTTTTGGGCCTGCCAAAGGTCCAACATGTACATCAGTGCATTACACATGTGCTTGTAGAAAAGTCTTCAATGTGGGGAGGTTCTTTAGCATGGAAGGTTCTTTAGCAAGGAAATCATCACAAATAAAAATCTTCTTACCTGGGTAGGAACACACTTTCCACCACATAAAAGTCTTGCATGAGAACATCTCGGTCTGGCTTGGAAGTGAGATTACCCACTGTGTATCCTATTCCCAGCTGAATAGCACCTTTGATAGCAGATGATGCAGTCTGCAAAGAAAACACAGGTCTCGGAGTTAGCCTTAATAGTCAGGGACTTGTTCAATGTCACGAGCAGCAAAAACTGGAGTTTGATTTTCATTCTTGCTCCTAAGCAACGAGGAAGTTAGGTTTGGAAAGATGATTGGTTGCTTCTTTTGATGGAGAATTTATTCCAAACATTATGGACCCTTCTTTTCATGAAATTATTTTTGTGGTAATCTTTCCTACCAATGTTCCTAAGGTCAAATTATAGTTGCAAAACCTCCATCTTTCTTTTACTGAGAACATAGAAAATTGGTAGAACACTTTCAGTATGTACGATAACATTATAATGTCTACCAAAAGATAAACGGCACAGTCACATTAAAAAAAAATCAGAACTTCTATAACATACCTATGGATCAGGAAGAACATTTTATCTTCATAAGAAATGAGAGCAAAAAATAATTGGCATCTTTGGAATACCCAAATATAATTTGGAAATTGCTTACTGGTCTTTCCATAGAGCCATCATCAAATTTTCCTACACCGACCTGTGATAAAGTATATAGCATTGGAACACCAATATTTCCAATTACTACTTTTCTAATATCATTCCATAATTGACATAATGTTAACTGGAATAACTGCCACATATATGTGTATATGTATATATGTATGTATGTGTATATGTATATGTACATATGTATATATGTGTGTATGTATGTATGTGTATATATATAGAGAGGGTGCCAGAAAAATGTATATACATTTTAAGAAAGGAAAAAACTCTATTAAAATTATGCTTAGGGCTGGCCGAGTGGCGCGATGGTTAAGAACTGGCGTGGGATGCCAGAGGGCCCCGGTTCGGATCCCACATATGAGGGCCAGTGACACCGCCCTCCACAGCTAAGATGCTGAACAACAGCTCAACCNTTTCACAGAACTAGAACAAAGAATCCTAAAATTTATATGGAACCACAAAAGACCTCGAGTATCCAATTTTGAGAAAGAACAAAGTTTGATGTATCATGCTACCTGATGTCAAACTATACTATAAAGCTATAGTAATCAAAACAGCATGGCATTGGCATGAAGACATGTAGATCAATGGAACAGAATACAGAACCCAGAAATAAACACCCACCTATATGGTCAAATTATCTATGACAAAGGAGACAAGACTATACAATGAGGTAAAGACAGTCTCTTCAATAAATGGTGCTGGGAAAACTGGACAGATACATGCCAAAGAATGAAATTGGATCACTTTCTTGCACCATATACAAGAATAAACTCAAAATGTATTAAAAACTTAAATGTATGACCTGGAGCCATAAAACTCCTACAAGAAAGTAGAAGCAGTAAACTCTTTGCCATTGCATCGTGTAGTATTTTCTTTTGGATATGTCTCCTCATGCACAGGAAACAAAAGGAAAAGTAAACAGATAGGACTACATCAAAATAAAGTTTTTGCACAATGAAGAAAACTATCAACAAAACGAAAAGACAACCTACTGAATGGGAGAAGATATTTGCCAATGATACACCTGATAAGGGGTTAATATCCAAAAAATATAAGGAAATCATACAACTTAACACCAAAAAACAAAAAAAATCTGATTAAAAAATGGGCAGAGGACTTGAATAGAAATTTCTCCAAAGAGGACATACAAACAGTTAATAGGCATATGAAAAGATGCTCAACATCACTAATCATCAGGGAGATGCAAATCAAAATCACAATGAGATTACCTCACACCTGTCAGAATGGCCATCATCAATAAATCAACAAACAAGTGTTGGTCAGGATGTGGAGAAAAGGGAACCCTCATTCACTGTTGGCAGGGCTGTAAATTGGTGCAGCCACCATGGAAAACAGTAGGGAGGTTCCTCAAAAAAATTAAGAACAGCACTACCATGTAACCCAGCAACTTCACTTCTGGGTATTTATCTGAAGAAACCTCAAACACCAATTTGAAAATAGATGTGCATCCCTATGTTCATTGCAGCATTATTTACATTAGCCAAGATGTGGAAGCATCCTAAGTGTCCATGATTGGATAAAGAAGATGTGGTCCATATATACAATGAAATATTACTCAACTGCAGAAAAGAATGAAATTTTGTCATTTGTGACAACATGGATGAACATAGAGGACATTGTACTAAGTGAAATAAGTCAGACAGACAAAGACAAATATATGATTTCACTTACATGTGGAATCTAAAAAACCAAAATAAATAAACAAACAAAACAGAAACAAACTCATAGATACAGAGAACAAATTGATGGTTG